GTAAAGAGTTAAATGGTCTCAGAAATTCACAGGGGTAGTTTGGGTCTGGCCATCCTGAGTGAGGTGGGGGTCAACATTCCCAGCTGAGGTCAGATGCCTTTGCTTCAGCTCTCATACTCTAAATAGCTGTCCTTCATACAGTCTACTGAGTGTCACACCTGACATATTGTGCTTTAAAAAACAGGTATAATATTAATTGGGAGTTAATACATAAATCATTCCATAGTTCTGTCACGTCAAGCAGAATTGTACAATTGCTACTACAGTCAGTTCACAAACATTCTTTTGCTTCCTCGACTCCTTCATATCATCTCCCTTTACACTTCACCCTACATTTTGTGCTTTTCATTGGTGATTTCACCATTGGAAATGGCCACAAAGCATTGCCTAGCATTCCGCAATGTAAGAGAGCACTGATGAACCTTAAGATTCCTTCAGGCATGGCTTAGGGTGCTACTGACCTTCATTTATTTTTAATGAAGCAACATATTAAATAAGGTGTATAAACAAAGACACAAAATACAATACATAGCCTACACTATATAGCCCTGTGTTGGTTCAGTCTTCACCAGGTCAGTGTTCGTGGTGAACTTATAGACCATAATCACCATGAATAATAAGGATTTTCTGACTTTTAAAAAAATCACCACCAGGTGACGTGACGTCTGTCACATACATGATACTGCTGATGTATAATACTGAACTTTCATGCTTACCTAGGGCACATTTGGCTGCTCTCTCATTTCGACTTAGCTTTTTGCCATTTCCCTCCTTGAGTTCCCTGTAGCTGCTGAGACATTCAGAACAGAGCAGTCAGTGTTCTTTGTCTATCCTCCCATCAACTTCTCTCTCTCCCTGCCCCTCCTTTGTTCCTCCTCTTCCTCATTCATGTGTCCTCCACACCTTGCTTTCTGTTTTCATTCTGCATTTCTGTTACAGCATGAACCTTTCTTTGTTTTAAAAATAAAATCATTTTATTGGGGGCTCTTACAACTCTTATCACAATCCATGCATCCATCCATGTGTCACGCACATTTATACATTTGTTGCCATCATCATACTCAAAACATTTTCTTTCTACCATGGTATCAGCAACTCATTTCTTCCACCCTCCCTCCCACACAAACCCTTGATAATTTATAAATTATTATTTTTTCCTAACTTAAACTGTCTGACGTCTCCCTTCACCTATATATGATTGGTTCCCCCTTTCTCCCCCGACCTTTCCCTTACCCTCCTGGTATCGCTACTCTCATTGGTCCTGAGGGGATTATCTGCCCTGGATACCCTGTGTTTCCAGCTCTTATCTGTAGCAGAGTACAACCTCTGGTCTCGCCAGATTTGTAAGGTAGAATTGGGATCATGATGATGGGGAGAAGAAGCACTGAAGAACTAGAGGAGAGTTGTATGTTTCATTGGTGCTATACTGCACCCTGACTGGCTCGTCTGTCTCCTCTCCGGGACCCTTCTGTAAGGGGATGTCCAGTTGCTTACAGATGGGCTTTGGGTCTCCACTCCGCACCCCTCCTCATTCACTATGATATGATTTTTTGTTCTTTGATGTCTGATACCTGATCCCATCGACACTTTGTGATCGCACAGGCTGGTGTGCTTCTTCCATGTGGGCTTTGTTGCTTCTCAGCTAGATGGCCACTTGTTTATCTTTAAGCTTTTTAAGATCCCAGATGCTATTTTTTTGATAGCCAGGCACCATCAGCTTTCTTTCACAACATTTACTTATGTACCCGCTTTGTCTTCAGTGATCGTGTTGAGAAGGTGAGCATCTCAGAGGGCCAGATTATTAGAACAAAGTGTTCTTGAGTTAAGGGAGTACTTGAGTAGACCCAATGTCCATCTGCTTCCTTAATACTAGACATATAAATATATGTACATAGATCTATTTCCCCATTGTCTTATATAAAATATTTACTTACCTTTCTGTCTTGAATGAAATCTTGCACTGCTCATTAAGCAGAGGACAAGATTTTTCTGTCCTATCATTCACAGGAGTGGTAGGAAATTAGTTGCCGCCAGAAACTTGTGCTCGTCGGAAATGACAGCATTGCTTCAACCCAGCAGGTTCAGAGCTTAACGGCTTGAAATTCACTTTCAGATCACGAGGCTTAATTCCATCTACCAAGTTGCTTAATCTTTACCATTTTTTGAAAGTAGTTTTTATTGGCACATAATTCACATCAATCATATTGAGAAGAGTTGTACAATCAATATTACCACAATCAGTTTCAAAACATTTTCTTTTTTCTTGAACTCATTGTTGTAACTTCCCCATTTCTCCCCAACCTTCCCTGCCCCACCCCTAGGCAATTATTAATCCAGTTTCTGTCTATGGATTTACCTATCCTGGATATCATATACAGAAAATCATACAAAACCAAAAAAACCAGTGACAATGACAAGACAAAACAGAGAAATACCTCAGTAGAAAAGAAAGCAAAAAAGATTAGAAACAAACCATTTTAAAATGAGTCAAAAGGGAGATCAACTGATAAAGTGTTACGTTTAATTCAACTACATCTGCCATAATCAACTTTACAATGCTATCCAATAACAAAGCTGTCACATCCCTCAAGTATGATCAGAGGGGATTCACCAGAGAGTTTATCCTTGTGGGGACCCTGCAAATGGATTTTGAGCTTTTGCTATCCATTTCCTTCTACAAACCAGGTATTTAGAATTTAAGCCCTGATTCCTTTCCCTCTACTGAATTTGAATTTTATTATTTGCCATCAGTGGCCTTCTCAGGCTGGTGTGCTTCTTCCATTTGACACCTTATTTAGATGGCTGTTTGAAGACAAGCCTTTAAGACCCCAGACACTGTTCTTTCTGATAGCCAGACACCATCTGGTTTCTTCACTACACTTTGCTGTAGCACCTGTAGCTTCAGTGATCTCTTCATGAAGGCGAGGATTGAGTCGGGCCACGTCATAAGAGCTAATTGTTCTTAGGTTAGGGCTACAATTAAGTGTTAGCCTAAAATCCATTCATATATATCTGGTTTGTACATGTCTCTAGTTCACTGTAGAGACATTATAAATCATCCCCCGGGAGGCATAAGGTGATTCTGAGTCACCAAGAGTTTGGATAGAAACTATGTCAAAAGTGTCCAATGAGGAACATAATACTGGATTTATTCTCCCCTTTCCTTCTATGTGGAGCACTGGTAGTGTAGTGTAGTGGTTACATGTTGAACTGCGATCTGCAAGGTTGGCAGTTTGAAATCACCAGCCGATACAAGGGGAAAGATAGGCCATTTTGGAAAAGAGTTAGACTCGGAAACTCACATGGGCATGCCTACCCTGTCCTAAAGGCCCGTTATTGAGTCGGCATCAATTGATGGCAGTGAGTTTGGTTTGGTTTTCGTTTTAGATTCTCTCTAATTATTGCTAAGTGTAGGTTGTTTGTTGTTGTTTTTCCCCCACTGTTGGCAGGTTGCCTTACTCCCCTAGTCATGTTTTAATATTTTCCCATCACCCATTGCTGTAAATCATGTGAGAGCGCCAAAAAGTTTATGGAAAATAGATTTAAAAGATAATAGTATTTTTCCTTGAACATTTTGAAAGCCCCTCACATTTTAGATATAATTAGATTTCATAACTATAAACTTCAAACGCTTTATTGTTGAATTTCTGTGTAGGAGAATTACTTAATTGTAGCAAATCTAAAACTCTAGTCCCTAGCCTCAACCCCCCTTTCCCTCATTGAAGATAATGTTAGCAATACAACTATCATTGATCATACTTTATTTCTATTCTAGTACGGGGGCACATAGTACTTTTGCATGCATCTATATTGTATGTTTATTTTCCCAAGAAAGCATCTTGAAAGTAAAAATCCTTCCTTCTCATCTTTGACCAGCCAGTGAAATATATATATGTATATATGTTTGAAAAATTTTTTTATTGTGAATTGGATGAAGAACAGAGCATAATTTTGCATTAAACAATTTATGTACATTATTGAAATCTCCTCAAGGTCCCGTTGCTTATCCTACTTCCTCCCTATTTTCTGTTTAGGTTCCCCCTTTTCTAATCCGCTGAACTTTGTTCTTGGGTAAATGCTTCCCTTTTGATCTTAAATTATTCAAATGTTGAGGTGAGTTTAATTCCAGACCTGAAAGGTAATGAATGACCATAGTCTTGGGGTCTCACAAGTCTCTTCCAACCAGTTATCCTGGACTCTTTTATGACTTTGAGTTCTGTTCCACATTATCCTACTACTCTATCTAAAACTATTTAATTTGATCTGCTTTTCAGGGCAGTTGATAGAGGTGGTTGGCACCATCTAGTTCTTCCTGTCTCTGGGTTGTGGAGAACGAGTTGGGGTCCAGTCATCCATTGTATTAATTGTTTCCATGTGTTCTTTCAATTTTCATCACTGTTCTTTCCTCCGGGTGGGAAAAGACCAATAGTTGTACTTTAGATGGCTACTGATAGAAGCTTTTAGACCTTAATCGCTACTCACCAAATCAGAATGGAGAACATTGTCTTTCTGAACTTAAGTTATGGCATTGAACTTTGGTGTTCCCCACATCTGTAGTCCTCTTCCTTTAGGCCTGCTATTGCTTTTAGTTTCCGATTTTTCGAATGACAGTTGTATGGATTTGATCAAAGAAAAAATAATGAAACCACTATTACTCTATTGAATACGCTTGTGGTACATGTTTTTCCTTTTCCCTTGCCTATAAAGTCAAGAACAAATATATTTAAGGTTATTCATATTTTATATATGCCACAAAAAGAATATACCTTAGAACTAGAAATATCTTACAAAAGTTGATTTTCTAAGTGTATTTATCTAGTTTTCAAATTACAACATTTTATTTCAATACGGTACTTCATGGGCAATTTTTTTGTTCCGATTTAAACTTTTTGATATTGAATTCTTAAATATATAAAATTAGTTTTTATTCTCTGTGTTGGATATTTTAAATAACTAGTTCTGTTGACTAAACTAATAATATGTTAAAACTTTTTTTACAGAGATACCATTGAAAACAACATGGATTTTATGGGATTAATAATAATGCAGAACAAATTAAAGCAAGAAACCCCTGCAGTACTTGAAGACTTGCATAAAGCCAACATTCGTACTGTCATGGTCACAGGTTAGACTTTAAAAAAAGAACACAGAGTAACACTGTCTTAGAGATTAAATTGTTTGATACGAGTAATAATCAGTTATGGAAACATTTTATATACTGGCTTCATTACACTTGTATTTCAGCTTTGACTCTTGGAGGCGTAACAATGATTTTGTGGTACTGTGCTCTCTGGTCTCTCAAGAATCCACTCACAGTAAATAGTGATACATAGTGCTTTTGTTTCCTCTCGTATCTTGCTTATAGCACTGATAGTACGCTGTGTTTCATTTTATGTACAGATTTTTCTAGTAGAATACAAGATTCTTCTTTTGTTTTTTTAAAGATTATTTTACTGGGGGCTCATACAGCTCTTACAACATTCCATACATCAGTTGTATCAAGCATATTTGTACATATGATGCCATCATTGTTTTCTAAACATTTACTTTCTATTTGAACTCTTGGTATCAGCTCTTCTTTTTAACCTCCCTCCCCCTTCCCACCATCATGACTCTTTGATAAATTATTACTGTTTTCATATTACACCGACTGCTATTTCCCTTCATCTACGTTTCTATTGTTTATCCCTGAAGGGAGGGTTCTCCCCCCTCCCCGCTCCCCTCTTGGTATTGCTACTCTCATTTCTGTTCCTGAGCAGTTTTATCTAACCTGGATTCTGTGTGTCATGAGCTCTTATCTGTACCAGTGTGCATGTACTGGTCTAGTCCACAGTGAAAGGCAGGACTGGGGTCATGATAGTGGGGAGTGAAGAAGCCTCAAAGAACCAGAGGAATACTGTGTGTTTCGTCAGTGCTCTACTGTGTCCTGGTTGGCTCATCCCTTCCTGTGACCCTTTTGTTATTGTCTACAGATGGCTTTGGGTTTCTGCTCTGACCCCCCTCGCTCTCAAGAATATGTTTGTTTGTTTGTTTGTTTGTTTGGATCTTTAGGCGCCTGTCTGATTCCGTTGATACCTCATGATCACAAAGGCTGGTGTGCTTCTTCCATGTGGGCTTGTTTCTTTTCTGCTAGATGGCCACTTGTTTAAGTTCAAGCATTCAAGACCCCAGACTCTGTATCTTTTGCTAGCTGGTCACCATCAGCTTTCTTCACCACATTTGCTTATGCACCCATTTTGTCTTTAGCGATTGTGTTGAGAATGTGAGCATCACAGCATGCCAGATTGTTAGAACAAAGTGTTCTTGTGTTGAGGGAGGGCTTGAGCAGAGGCCCGAAGTCTATCCACTCCCTCAATATATTGCCATATAACTATATGTACATAGGCCAATACCTCTATATTTGTGGAGTAACATATTTACATAAGTACACACCTATGTTTATACCTCTATCCATAGCTTTGCTTCCTTTTACTTTCTTCCTGCCCCAGCAGCATGCCTGCCCTTCTTCTGCCCTTTGGGAATGCCTCTCAGCTAGATGACTGTTGGTCCCACACCACTGGAATCTTTATGCTTCCTTCGTGCTGCTTTTAATTCCCTAGTTGTTCCCCTGTCTATGGTGTTGTTTGCTCACCACTCCTTTCCTCCACCTCCTCCTCCCCCCAGGTCCTTCTGGAAACATGGGTCCTGTTGGTTTCTCCTCAGTCATGCTTCCCATGCCTATCTTACATAGGTAGACAAAACAGCAATAACAGAGACCAAACAAAAAGATGGAATAAAAAGAGAGAAAGCAAACAAAACTAGCAAAAAAACAAAACAAAAATGAAACTTTTATGGGAACTGCCCCTCTTAGCCCGAAGTCTATTTGGGCAGCTCCTCAGGGGTTTTGTGGCTTGGCTTTGCTCCTGTTCCTGACTGGTTATGTTCCCTTCTTAGTTCACCCCTTTGTTGGGGTGGTCAGACTGGACTCTTTCCTTGCCATGTGTCCCCAGTATTGTCTTCTATTGTGGTATGCTCCAGCAAGGAGACATCATGTCTTCATGTGGACTGTTTGCTCTACAGTCCTCTCTGGGCCTTAGCAGCTCTGTTCAGGGATATCATCCTCAAGGCTTGGTGTGCCAGTATGGGGTCTAGTCCCCGTCTCTCTCTTTCCTTCTTGGTTTGCTTCTGTATGGGTGTGGCAGGCCACCCCCTCTCTCCAACCTGTAGTTTTAGTGTGTCCTCTGTAGCACATACTTCAAGGAGGGAGGGGGGTAGTGTCAGTTTGGCTCTGATTGGGGTTGTCCTTGTAGAACTCTCTGTTCATGAGTTGCTCCATGTGGTTACATTGTCCTCAAAGTTTGGCTCACCGTGGTGGGGTCTGCATTCATGTCCCATTTCTGTGGAGACATAACAATACCCTCCCTCTGGGTAGATTTGTGCCCTTCTACCCCAGTGCCATCATTTCCTCCCCTCCCCCAGATACTTTCCCTTTCTTTGTGTTGGAATGAATTGTACATCCTTGGGTTTGGCCTGGCCCCTACCCGATTGCCTGTACCTCAACCCATCAAGTGCGAGATAGTAGCTTTTCTTCTATACCTATTCTGCTGGTTATACTTAACCTCAGTGGGCTCATGTACTTTTGTCCTCTTGTGATTGTCCAACTTTGCTTAGGATAATTTCCTCCAACTCTTTGAGATGATGTGCTTCATGCGTTCATCAGTGCTTTTTAGTGATGCATAGTACTCCAATGTGTGTCTGAGCCAGAGTTCTTTCTAATGCACCTATCAATGGAAATTTAGGTTGTGTCCATTTCTTTGCGATTGTGAATTGTACCACAATAAATAATCGGAGTGCAGACTACTGGTCTTGTTCTATTTCTTACCTCTTCTGGATGTATACCCAATAGAGGGATTGTTGGATCATAAGGTAACTCAATTTCCGTTTGCTTTAAATATAGCCAGATGGCTTTCCACAGTGGCTGCACATATCTATGAGACCACCAGCAGTGGAGGAGAGTTCCTATCTTGCCACATCCCAACCAACATTTGTTGCTCTCTGATTTTCTAATTTGGGCTATCCTCAAGGGTGTTAGGTGGTATCTCATAGTTGTTTTAATTTGCATTTCTCTGATGGCTAATGATCGGGAATATTTTCTCAAGTTTATTGGCCATTCAGATCTCCTCCCTAGTGAAACTTCTGTTCAGGTTTTTTGCCCACTTTCTCAGGGGCTTAACTGTTTTCTTCTTTTTTGCAGGCTAGGAAGGTATTGGTATATTTAAGTAATAAGCCCTTTGTCTGTTGTGTCATTGCTAAAAATCCTCTCCCAGTTTGTGGGTTCTCTTGTTACTTTCTTGGGGAAGTCTTTCTACGCTTACAGATAATTTATCCATAGTATACCCCATTTGTCGATTTCAGCTTCATCTGTGTGTGTACCCTTTCTTATTATAGTTAGCGTATGTATTCCCTACAACAACATTCTTAGGTTTGTCCTTACTCCTTCGTTGATAGCCCTGATAGTTTGAGGTTTTACTTCTAGGTCTGTGATCCACCTTGAGTTTGTTGTTGTGCACGGGGTAAGGTAAGGGTCTTGATTCCTTTTTCAACAGGTGGACATCCATTATCCATCACCACTTTTTAAAGAGGGCATGGCATCCACCTCCCACTTGATGCTTTTTGGATCCCTGTCGAAGATCAGTTGTCTAAATGCTGATGGTTTTATTTTTGGTTTTCTGTTCTTTTCCATTGGTCTGAGTATGTCATAATTCCAGTTCTATGCTGTTTTGACCACTGTGGCCGTTTAGTAGGTGTTAAAGTCAGGTGAGGCGAGCCCTCCAACTTCGTCCTTCTTGAGGAGTTCTCTGCTAATTCTGGGCTTCTTCTCTTGCTATATGAAATTGGTTGTCAGTTTTTCCAATTATTTGAAGAAAGTTGTTGGTATTTGAATCAGGATAACGTTAAACTTATATAGTGATTGACATCTTTACTATAGTGAGTCTTCCAATCCACGAGCAATGGGATATTCTTCAATTTGTGGAGGTCACTTTTGGTTTCCTGTAGTAGGGTTCTGTAGTTTTCCTTGTATAAGTCTTTTGGTTTTTTGGTTAGATGTTTCCTAGATATTTCAGTTTATTCTTGGCTATTGTGAAGGATATTGCCTTCTTGATCTCCTCTTCCATGGTCTTCTCCAATGTATATAGCAAACCAGTAGACTTATGTGTTTATGTGGGAGGCTTCATTCTTGCCTTCTTTTCCCTCTGTGGCAATGTTATCTTGGTAATTGCCTTCAGCGTGTTAATTTTTGGATAGAGTTGGGCTGTATGGCGGACTCCTGTTTGCGCTTGGTGGATGTTCTTCTTATGGTGTATTCTTTGAGTTTTTTCTTGTCCAGGAAGACTCTTACCTCATCGTCCATCTTAATAGGTAGTTTGACATGGTGGAGGAGTCTTGGGTTGGTGGTTTTTTTACTTTCAGCTTTCGGAAGATGTTACCCGTACACTCTCCTCCTCTTCATGATGTCTGCTGAAAGGTGTAAGCATATTCTGAGCACCATTGTATGTGACCACCTTTTTTTCTCTTGCTCTTAAAATTTTCTCTTTTTCCACAAAGTTGGATAATTTAACTATCATGTGCCTTGGTGAGTTCTTCCTGGTTTAATCTATTTGCTGTCCTCTCTGTTTACTGTATGAATGTCTGATTCTCATTCATTGATATAGGGGAGTTTGCTTCCAGGAATTCCCTCGCTAATTTAGCTGTAGACATCTTCATTGTGTCTTGTTCTGGAAGACCAATTATTTGAATAGCATGTCAGTGATCTCAGGTTTTCTTTTACCTCTTTGATTATCTTGTTTGCCCCATTTATTGAAGTCTGCCTGATTGTCCTGGAGATTGTTGGTACGATTCTCCGCCTCTTCTGGTCCATTGGTGGGGTCTATTACCTTGTGTTTTACTTCTGTTACCTCATCCATTAGTTCTTGTTTTTCTCTTTGGTGCGTGGACTTCATGTGTTGCTTCCCTCATATCTTGTATTATTCTAAGCATCAGTGTGATGATATCTTTTGTGGCAGATCAAAGTCTGATTCTTCTATGAGCGTCATTAGGTTTATGACTCTCTCTGCTGTTGCATTGTTTTTCTTGGGTTTTGTTGTTGAGGGTTTGAGGTATTGTTGCTCTCTGTATGTACCATTTTGGAAGAACTGGGTGCCATGTTCCTGGGAGACCAAGGGGACCTGAGCTCTTTCTCTGAGACTGGTAAGGGTGTTTTGGAGGACTACCCTGTGGCCTACCATGGTCATGGGTCAGACTGCTATGTAGGTGGGGTTCCACAGTGACTCAGTGGCTAGTGGGGGAGGAGGGCCTCGGAAGCCGGGCTGAAGCAGGTGACTGGAGGTATTGCCACTGGGCTGGGTTGGGGTGGGCCTGCAGTGTGGGCACGGGTCTGGTCTGGACTGTCTGGCCGCAGTCTTTTAACTTTGCAGTCTTTTAAAGACTCTGTGGAGCCCAAAACTGGTAATGACAAGTTTTGGCTTGAGCTGTGTCTTTCAGCCCCTGGCTTTTCCTGTTTTGTTAAGTTAAAATCCTTGGCTGTGCTCTGGGGATTAGAGTTCTCCCTGTCTTGTTGTATGCCAATAGACACATTTCTGGCAGCTTACATTCAAAGTTACTCAAAGGAACACAGTCTGGAATTATAAGTTTAAAAAAGGCAAGCTCCCCCCCCCCCCCAACCTGCTTTTTATAATGAGTTTGTGGGGTGCCTTGGTATCAGGGCTGTGCTGCGCTGTCCCCCAGGGAAGGGGGAGACCAGATTAGCCGAGTGGTTTGGGGGCTGACTGGATCTGAGTTCTCCCCCAGCTGCATTCCTGTATCACTCCAGCTCTCCACTACAGTTAAGTCAAGGGTAAATATCTCAGGGACTCCTCAATTGCTGAAAATTAGTGACTAATTATCTATCATTACCCATGCTGTCAGGTGCAGAGGGAGAGGGGGCAAAGGGGATAGCCGATGTAGTCACTCTGTTTCTGTCTAGGGAGGGAGGATGCAAAGCCCCAGAATGAAAGAGCTGGGTGGATAGCAGAGTGAGGAAGACCAGTGTGAGGTCTTGTGGCTTGTTCTTGGAGGCTTTCTGAGAGCCTGGGATTATGACCACCTGGGTTAGTCTGGGTTGACTAGAGAAATAAATACATAGACACTCATGTGTATAAGAAAAAGCTTTATATAAAGAGTAATTGTATATTAAGAAAACATCCCAACCCAGGCCAGATCAAGTCCATAAGTCTGATACTAGCCCATATGTCCGATACCAGTCTATAAATTCTTCCGACTCATGCTTATACATGCAATGACACCAAGTGCAGGAAGATCACAGGCCCGTGATTAGAAAGTCTTGTGGATCCCATGGTGGTGGAAGCATCTCAGTGCTGGCATGGGTTTCTATGTGGCTCCTCCAGCTCTAGATCTCTGGCTTTATCAGTGTGTCTCCTTGTGGCTTGTCTTCAGGAATATTTCACAGGGAGGGTGTGTGTCCCGCCTCCAAGTAGGAAGACAGGAGCTCCCAAAATAAATCCCTCATTGGCTATGATCTGATTGACAGGTTAGACTCCACCCTTTCCCTCAAGTTGACAATAGATTATGTAACTGCCATACCACCTTTAGACAGCAGCTTGGGGATATGAGCTGTGAGTCTCGTATCTTGGGCATAGAAAGGGGTGGTGGAGGCCGTCCTGCTGCATCTGGTGGAGCCTGTGGGCAGACTTGGTGGATTTAGGGTGTTTCAGTAAGTTCTCGAATCGCTCTTTGGGAGAAAATCGCAGGGGGAGGTCTGAACCAGACCCTAGTACACTGAATATTTTTAGCACCCCACCTCCCAATATTGGCCTCTTTACCTCTTTAATTTTCTGATCTGAAAACAGGAGCACTGGACAGGTGATTCTACCTGGATTCCATCTTGACTCAGGAATCTAAAATACAAGATTCTTGAGGTTAAGATTATACTTTACTCCTTTCTCCCTTCTCTACAATTTTTAAAACTCTGCCCAATCCATAGATATGATTAGTAGATACTTGCTATATTTAAAGCATTTATAAGATTATGTTGTCATCATAGGTGAATTTATAATGGTGGAAGTCGTCTGGACTTTATGGTTTGCAGGTTATTTTGAGTATGTTGTTATGTACTACCAGAAATTGAATTGCATTCTCCCAAAATATGTCAACTTGACCGGGCCATGATTCTCAGTGGTTTGGCTGGTGGTTATGTAATGATGTAATTTGGCAATTATCTGTTATCTCTCTTGGTGTGATCCAATGTAGGGGGTTAGAGTCAGATGCAACCCCTTTTCGCAGGTCACAACCCTCATCTGGTGAATGGAGAATTTCCCAGTAGTGTGGCCTGTATCATCTTTTATCTTACAAGAGAGTAAAGGAGAAAGAGGCAAGCATAGAAGTCGATTGGGCAAGTAATAACTATCTTCCAAATTACTTGTCATGGATGGGTGTTTCTAGAATTGCATCTTTTTAAAAAAGATTCAATTAGTATTCTGTGGATTTTGTATCATTATTTTTTTCCCAATACCTTCAGTGTACTTTGGACTTCTTTCTTCAATACTATAGGTTCTTGGTCATATGCTAACTCCTGAATTGGTTGAAATGTTGACCAGTTCTTTTCAGTGCAGTGACTCTGATTTCATTCCATCTTTTTGTTTTGTTTTGCTTTAAAATTTAAATATGCTGGATTGAGGCATGAGGTATTTTTATTTCCTTTTGTTAGTACTTAAAACCATCTCGGTACATTTTTGTAAGGCAGATGATCAACGCGTGTCAAGCTCTGTGCCCACTGGCAATTGCCATCTGCCTGCCTTCCAGTCAGAGTCTGCTCATGTTTGACCTGGACAGCTCTCCCTGCTCTCACGTAGAGCATAGAGAAGGGCTGTGTGGATTCGGCCTCTTCCTTCTGTGGGTTGTGTTGAGACTTGCCTTGAGTCATGCCAAAATAGAACCCACCCCCATCGCCGGAGAGAATTGGCAAATGTTTTCCGACTAGTGGGCCCAAGCATATTGAAAACAGAGTTCTCTGTGTCATTCAACAGTCAAGCTTGTGTAATGTCACACTGTCCATCCCCCATGCCTCTGGGGATGGGGTAGGGGTCGGGGGTGGGGGGGTGAGGTGGGGGGGGGTCATGTGTATAAAAAGAATGTCGATTTGTAAAGACAGGCACAATGTATACCACTATACATGTGTACTTTCAAACTCCTTCCATCTTCTTTTGATGCTTTCTACACCACTTAGTATTTTTCCCATGGAATCCTTCAATATTTCAACTTTAGGCTTGAGTTTTTTCCTTCAGTTCTTTCAGCTTGAGAAATCCTGAGCATGTTCTTCTCTTTTAGCTTTCTAATTCCAGGTCTTTGCACATTTCCTTATACTACTTACTTTGATTTCCAGGCTACCTTTTAAAAATTTCTATTTCTCTTTATTTCATCATTTCTTCTATTTGCTGTAGTTACCCCTATATTCAAAGCAAGTTTCAGAGTCTCCCTCACACATTCATTTTGGTCTTTTCTCCTTTTCCTATATTTTTAATGACTTCTTGCTTCCTTCATATAAGATGTCCTTGCTGTCATTTTTGGTCATTCGGTTCATTGAGTAGGATCTGTGCTTGATAATGTCATTCACATTCAGGTAGGATATACTCAAGGTTGTATTTTGATATTCATGGACTTCAAGATTCTGGATTTTAGGGGTTTTACTGAAGAAGTATATATAAAGGCGTATGCACATCTTTATGATTTAGAATGAGATCCATTCAATAGCATCCTCGTTATTTTATATCCCAAAGTAACTAAATCTTGCATCCTAACATCCTTAGTCTTTCCACACATTTCCATGTGTATCTCTCCCACTTTCCACCTTTATCTCTTCCCCCTTTTCTACTGCCATGAACAGAATATGATCTCATGTCCCAAGGAGATCTGTCAGGTCATAGGAAGATGCCTTTGAAAACAGCGTGTGGAAACTAGGGGAAGAAAGAGTTGGCATTTTATACTTGTTACACTGGGGTCCCCAAACACCGACATAACTGCTTCTCTTTAGTTCTTTCCTTCTCATGATAATGGATCTATTCTGCCCACCTTGCTGACCTCTGTTTTATGTCCCTTTGCTTTTATAATCCGTTTGGTTATGTTGTACACAGTTCCAGACACTCCTGGGTTAATCTAACAAGTGACGGTTGAGTTCTGTGTGTAGCACTGTGCCAGGTATTTTATAAGTACAAATAGTGCTTGGCAGGAGATTAGGACTTTTATTTGGCTTTCAGGGGTGAGTGAAAATGCCTTGTGTATTAGAGGTTTCCTCTGATAAATATGCCCTTATTTTGTTACATCTCAAGTCCAAGTGTAAGGACCATACATCACCATTCTACCTAGTCCACTCCTGGGTACTGCTCTAGAGTTTCAAGAAGTACTTGTTGTCTTATACTTGTACATTCATGTTGCTTACTTTAACAAATTTAAAATATTCTGATAATTAGGTGACAACATGTTGACTGCTGTTTCTGTGGCCAGAGACTGTGGAATGATTCTACCTCAGGATAAAGTTATTATTGCTGAAGGATTACCTCCAAAGGATGGGAAAGTTGCCAAGATAAATTGGCATTATGCAGACACGCTAACACAGTGCAGTAATTCATCAGCAATTGATTCGGAGGTAATGGCAGGATGAATTTTCTCTTTGGAAGCACACTAATTTTTAAATTTAGCCTGAAAAAATAAATGATGCTTTAGAACAAAATTAAAAAACCAAGTCAAGACAGTTAAGTCGCAATCTTCTTAGAGATTGTGTTTCACTGGCACTAGGGTAGAAGCAGGAATCTCAATTTTTAATGTTAATATTCTATTTAGTCAGAGTTAAGAGCCACAGCTCTAAGAACCCCAAATTCTGTTTTGAGAACATTTACTGATAAATAATGCAAGAGATCTGTAATGTTCAATTCATTGATCATTTTAAAGGGAAGCATATTTAAATTCTGTAAGCTATTTGCTTTTGTCTTTTCCGTAAAAAAATTTGATTTCCCCTTTACATTAAATTTAAGCATTCTAATATAAAATATCAAAGGAAAAATGCAGTGTGGGAACAGTTTTAAATCAGATGTTTTACTTTGGCTACCTAAATATTTTTCTCAATGCCATGTTCATAGGCTATTCCAATTAAATTGGCCCATGATAGCTTAGAGGACCTCCAGGTGACTCGCTACCATTTTGCAATGGATGGGAAATCATTTTCAGTGATACTGGAGCATTTTCAAGATCTGGTTCCTAAGGTTAGTGATTTAGCTTTTTGTATGTGTTCACATGAATATACTGTGAGTCGTATTTATAAGAAATTAATCCTTTTTCTAGCTGATGTTGCATGGCACCGTGTTTGCTCGTATGGCACCTGATCAGAAGACACAGCTGGTGGAAGCATTACAGAATGTAGAGTTAGTATTGGTTTTCTTCTTTTTTTTTTAATGAATTAGTTCATTTTCAAACTCCCCAAAATGGTATTTCATGTCAATGTGATTTGTTACCTGTAAAGTATCTGAGAATTTTTAACACTAGGTTGATGGAACACATTATTTTGACACGTTTTTGATTTCCTCAACAAAAATTCCAGAAACCATTTACATTTACCTCCTACCACTTATGCTGACTTATATCCATTGAGACATGTATTTATCTAAATTAATTTTCTTCTAATCTCAAAATTCTGTGTGGTATACCTATCATTATGGATACTCATCAATTTTATGTGAATTGAGCATTAATCCCAGCAAATTGGTTTCATTCATGACAGCATTACTTCAGTAATACATATAAACATAGTCAAAAGGTTTAGGAAACATCAAACGTAAAGACAAACAGTGCAGTGGAAATTGTCATGCTGACCGACATAAGCGATCCTTATGATGCATTGAACCCAATGTCTCAAATATTGTGTAATGTTAAACATTGTAAATTTTATATCAATGTATAGTATCACAGTTTCAGCTATAAGTCAATAGTGTATAGTTAGTGTTTTTTTAAAGAAATGTGCAGTTTTATTCCCATGTCAATTTGATGCATTTTTGTAGAGATAGGTATATAAAAACAGTCTGTAGACCTAGTGTTAAATACTCTTTTGGAATGCTTGCTAGCCCTTCATAAATACTGTATTGGAGAAGTCTTAAATGAAATTTTGTATATTTTTAAAAGTTTAATTAAAATATTAAATTTCTGTTTGCTTCATAGTTACTATGTAGGGATGTGTGGTGATGGTGCAAATGATTGTGGTGTAAGTATAATTTTAAATTTTACTTTTATAGATCTTACTTTAGTCTGAATGCTGTTCACAAAACATCCCATTTTCTTCTTGAAATCATTAGGCTTTAAAGAGGGCGCACGGAGGCATCTCCCTATCTGAGCTTGAGGCTTCAGTGGCATCTCCATTTACCTCTAGGACTCCTAGTATTTCCTGTGTGCCAAACCTAATCAGGTAACACAATTGGATATTTTTCTCATTAGCTTTTTGTTTCTTACTCAGATGATACATACAGGAAAAGCCAAACTCAACAGCCGTCGAGTCTATGCGTACTCATAGCAGCCCTGTAGGACAGGCTAGAACGGCCCCTGTGAGTTTCCAAGACTCTTTCCGTGAGTAGAAAGCCCTGTGTTTACGGGAGTAAAAAGCCATCATCCAGAAGTGACTGGTGGTTTCAAACTGCTAACCTTGCAGTTAGCTGCTCAACACATAATCACTATGCCACCAATGTTCCTCTCTGATGATATAGAGGGGAAAGTTATCAGAGAAAGCCACATGGATTTATTTTATTGACATATTAGCATAGTTGATAAGTGTATTAGGCTGAGTTATTAGAGGAATAAAATCAGTCATATATATGAAGAAATTTATATGAAGAAAGTGGTTCACCAGGTTGCATAAGTAGGTAAGTCCAGTCCAGTTTAAGTCTGGAAGTCAGTTGTTAAGGTTGAGGCATTTCCTAGCTCACTTGGCTGCCACGGCTGATGAACTAGGACAAAGGAAGACCATAGGATGGTGAAGGTAGAAGTGGATGAATCCAAGAAGTCAGGCTTGTGGCTGCAGAGCCAAATGAATCTAAGGTTGGTATGTTACATGGCAGGCCACTGATCGCTCCCAGTATCATCAGATGGTATGGTGGACCATTGGCTTAACTCTACAGAGCCACAGGTTAATGAAACAGATACAGGTTTGAGACAGGCCAGCAAAAAGAGAAGAGCTTTCCCACCTAGTCTGCTTAAATAAGAGTAGGTTATACTCCCATTTCCGCTTTAATAGGACTAGGCTATAACTACCATAAGCAAGAGCCAAAGGTGCCAAAGGAAGAAGTTCAAGCTACCCTGAAAGCATTAGCCAAAAAGAAAAAAAGGAAAAAAAAAGGCTCTAGGAATTGATGGAATACCAATTGAAATGTTTCAACAAACTGATGAAGCACTGGAAGTACTCACTCATCTATGCCAGGAAATTTGGAAGATAGCTACTTGGCCAACTGACTGGAAGAGATCCATATTTATTCCCACTCCAAAGGCGACCCAACAGAATGCTTAAATTATGGAATAATAGCATTGATTTTATATGCAAGTAAAATTTTGCTGAAGATCACTCAACAGTGGTTGCAGCAGTACATTGACAAGGAGTTGCCAGAAATTCAGGTTGGATTCAAAAGAGGATGTGGAAAAGGGGAATCTTGGCCCTACCAAGTTGACATAAAACTTAATACACTGTGTGATTTATTAGTAATGGATAAATTGATATACCTGATGTCTTCAACCCCTGCTTTGGTTTAGGTCTTTTGGTAGAAAATCACTTTGTTGTAACTTTTGAATGGTAAGTGATGATCATCTTAGGATATAATTGTAATTTTGGAGTTAGAATTCACTTGCTAATACTTGTTTTCACAGGGAAGGCCGGGCTGCTTTAATGACTTCCTTCTGTGTATTTAAATTTATGGCTTTGTACAGCATTATCCAGTACTTCAGTGTTACTCTCCTGTATTCTGTGAGTACTAATGTTGCCTATAGGGACGGAATTTAGTGTTAAGGCATTTAAATTAAGGCATTAAATGTATAAGCATACATGTTTGGAATCTAAATAAGTAGCCACTGCAAACTAACCTTTAGTTTACCATATTTTGAGTAACAGATTAAGATACTAATTTGTAATACCATTTTCCTTAAGGCTAACACCTGTGGCTGAAACCTTTCTTTAGCATAAATTGGACATCTTTTAAAAAATTCTTGAAAATACCGAACTCTTGACATATGTGAGAATTGTAGTTATCTTTACAGGAACAAACCAGAATTAGAAGAGATGCTTTGTCAGTAGTGTGTAGAACTGTTAAATATGGCAAGAGAAAGTGCAGTGGTATCTGGGTGTACTCGATGGGATTTTGTAGATGGTATAATCTCTTGTCCATTTTTCTCTGCATGAACACTGAGGACATTTCAAGGAATCTCTGTGAAACCGCCCCCTTAGGGCCACTAGTAGAAAATATCAGAAGGGATGGAGTTCAGTCTTAAGGAAGCATCAATATAGCAGTTTTCCAGGATGTTGAATATTATGAGCAAATTATGTTTTCCTTTTGTTAAAACCTAAAAACTATATAGTGAATTTCAAGGAGTTACCCTCTTTTACTAATATATTAAATTGAATGTTAATTATGTAACATATTTGACGAATTTCAAAGATGGAAGCATTTTTTAATCAGGCCACTGCTATTAAAGTTGCTTGCTATTTGAAGAATGAAAAAAAAAAACAAAAAAAAACACGAAAACTAAAGCCAGGTAAAATGAGGAAACCCTATAAAAGTGGTCACTGAAAACTAATTGTGTTTTAAAATTACTTTTGTCTGTAGATATTAAGTAACCTTGGAGACTTCCAGTTTCTCTTCATTGATTTGGCAATCATTTTGGTGGTAGTTTTTACAAGTGAGTATTTTACTTGACTTTTGATTTCAAGGCATGCTGACTTCTGAATCTGAGTTAATTAACTTGGTAAATTTACATCAGTTGTGACACAGCTCGTACCGCTCTAGCTCCATGTAGATGAGCTTATTGGTTATGTGTTTATGTTTGGCCCCACTTGATTTATTTTTCCCTGAAGTATTGGAGAGTAAATTGGAGACATACACCTGAATATTTTAGTGTGTATTTACTAGACGCAAAGTCCTTCTAGATGATTAATTATAGTTAATTAAGATCAAGAGATTTTACATTGATATAATAACTATTTTCTAATCCATAGCTTTTATTTAAGTTTTGTCATTTGTCCCAGTAATGTCTTTCATACCTAATTTTGCCCTTAGTCCACAAGTTACATTTAGTTGTCTATTTCTCTTTATCTACAGCAATCGCTCAGCCTTTTTTTGACTTCTTGATGTTGACGTTTAGAACAATATAGGCTTGCTAAGATGGGTTTATCTGATGTAGTCTCATAAAATTCAGGCTATGAATTTCTGACAGGAAAATCACAGAAGTGGTATTGTCCTTCTAAATGCATTATATAGGGTGCGCTCCACTTTTGGTAATGTTAGTATAAAAACAAATAATGGTCGTAACCCATCTTCAGTGAACCCATCTTCAGTGAACCCATCTTCAGTTGAATAAAATAAAAGCCTATGAGTTCATATTGAAAAGAGTGATACTAGAGTGAGTGATGGGAAAGGAAGTGAAGAAGAATGAATAATTGGAAGAAATGGGAAGCACTTTCTTAAAGTAGAATGCTAACTACTCCAGTAGGCTTGCTGGAGTTAGATCATAGTTTCTCAGTTGGTATTGATAATTGGGGTCAGATAAGTTTTTGTCTTGAGGGGCTGCCCTCATCATTGGTTGCATGGTTAGTAGCATTTCTGACTTTGCCCACTAGATGCCAGTAGCATTCCTTGAGCTGTGACAGCCCAAATAATCTTTAGACATTGTCAAAGAGTCTCTGGTGAATAAAAATGCCTGCACTTGGAACTCCTGAGTTGGGCAATATTCTAAACAGATACTAAACCTAGTAATGCTAAAACTAGTGTGTCGCAGGATAGTAACACAGTCTCTGAGGATCTCTTTATGGTCACATAGTAATGACAAAGGGAGAGCAGAAACATGCCAGGGATGAAGCTCAGTGGACCCTACTTTAATACATGATCAAAGCATCCTCTCCTTTTTTTGAATGTTACTGCTGTTTATATTGCTTTAAACTTGTATTCATCTCTGCTAAAGAGGGAGGGAAATAAATTAATTATAGTGTCTGTTAGTGATTTAGTGTTGCTGTAACAGAAGTACCACACATGCCTGGCTTTGACACACGCATTCATTCTCTCCCCGTTTAGGAATCTAGAAGTACAGCTCTAGGGAGTCATTCTTTAGACTTCTACTCCTAGGTGATCTTCCTGCATCTCGGCTTTTCTCTTCCTCTTCTAACTGGCTTGCGTATTTGATCTCATAACTCAAGATTGACTCAAAACACACCCCACACAAAACTGGTCTCATAAATGTAACAGAGACGACCCACCCATCCACAAATGGGATTACAACCACTGGTATAACCCAACCCTATGGGACAGAGTAGACCTGCTCCTTAGATTTATGAGACTATACATCTTTTTGAGCAAAGGTTAGGAATTATAGCACATATTTTGACACCTATAAAGATTAAAAAAATAATGAACCCTCAGTTAAATATATGGAATTGTGGTAATTAATCTTATAATTTACCTGCTTATGTTTAGCATTCTTTGTATTCTAACTGGTCTTTGTTTTGAATATTAATACACCAATGTGAAAATTATCCCAGAAATGTGTTTGAAAAGCCTAAATAGTTTCTTTTGACAGATTGTTTAAATATGTAAGACATCTGGCTTGTTTTGTACACATTTTCCCCCCCAATGATTTGTTAGACACATTGTTGATTTTCTTAAATGTATTGATAGTTTTTCATAGTGACAAAGTAGATATGAACCTTTCCTCTTTTTTCTCTTAATATAGTGAGTTTAAATCCAGCCTGGAAGGAACTGGTAGCACAGAAACCACCTTCTGGTCTCATATCTGGGACCCTTCTCTTATCAGTTTTGTCTCAAATCATTATCTGCATTGGATTTCAATCCTTGGGGTTCTTTTGGGTGAAGCAGCAATGGTGGTATAAATTGTGGCGTCCACAGTCAGAGTAAGTTGGTCAATTGGTGTAAAAGTCTGTGTAAGATGTGTGCAATATATATGCATGTAAAAATAAGTAATATTTATATAGAATTTTCATGCTACTTGACTGAACACTTAAATAAGTTGGCTTTGTCTTTATTCAAACACAATGTTCTTGAGTTGATTTTGACTCACAGGGGCATTGTAGGACAGAGTAGAACTCCCCCATTGGGTTTCCAAGGCCACGAATGTTCCTGGAAGCAGACTGCTTTATCTGTTGGTGGACCAATTTCATCACCAGACCTCCTAAAGGTCCTAATAATCTCTAATCAGTGGTGCCCCTGGATCAGTTTATTAATCTGTTGCTATTTATGACCAGAGTACTTACAGATTACAAATGACAACACTTTAATTGATTGAACATTTTAATTAATTACAGGGGTAATTTTGTGGAATTCAGTTTTCAGATGCAAATATTTCTAATTTGATTAAAATTTTTGACTATTGTAGAAAATCGCAAAAAAAGAAAAAAAAGAAAAAAAAAGAAAATCGCACCACTGCAACTGGAAAAGAATAGGGGGTTGCTGTTTGTAAGAGTCCGTCCAGAGGTCCTTTGTAGGAGACGAACATTTCATTATCACCTACTGTTCGGTGCGCCCGGTAGTTAACATCTTTCATGATACAGCCTCTCTCTCCAGTTGCCACTGGGTTGGTCCTGCCTCCTGGAGAGCCCGTGCTTGTCACCGTTGTTCTGTGCTCTGCTGGGTTTCAGTGGCTGCTTTGTCTGAAGTCCATTGCTGTGCTGTTCTTCTGAAACCACCGACGTTTGTGGTTAATAGCCAGGCCATTGCACATGCTTTGAGACTCCTGCCCACCTGGAAGTAGGTGGAAGGGATAGCCTGAGCTAGAGATTATTGAAACCCAACTTAGTGGCCAGGGCTTTGTTAGCATTTCCACCAATCTTATCATTCAGCTCCTCAGAACCCTGTGATGGAGCAGATGATAGCTGCATTTATGGGTGAGCAAACAGCCTCAAAGAGATTAAAGAGCATCTCTTCTGCCTACTCTTCATATCTTATATCTGGATATTATTTGCTATTTGCTGTAAATGGCACCTTATATATGTATGCAGTAGTGATTCAAGGCAGATAAGGTAAATTTGGTTTCTTTGGGGGGATTGGGATTATGTTTAGTAATGCAAATGTTTTGTATGTGTTCTAGTGCCTGTGATACATCAAGAACTCTGTCTTGGAACTCCTCACATTTTTACAATGAAACTAAACCTGATGAACATAATATACAAAATTTTGAAAATACCACAGTGTTTTTTATCTCTAGTTTTCAATACCTCATAGTGGCTATTTCCTTTTCAAAAGGAAAACCCTTCAGACAGCCTTGCTACAAGAATTGTAAGTTGAGCGTTCATTTTATTTCCTCCCCCTTATCCTCCCTCCTTTAAATAATAACGTAGAAGAATATAACTGTAATAAAATCAATCTTTATAAAGAGAATGAACTAATGACTAAGGTGTTTATAGTGCTGTTTTATCCTCCTGTTAGCTGCTCCTGTAATTCAAAAATTAGTAGTGCTTTTTACATCCTGTTACTCCTGGCTCCAACTTTGATTTCTACAGGGACAGGGCTTCACATATCCTCTCTCGCGCGCATGCACACACCTTATTGTGCATTTCAGCTGTGTGATCTTCTCTATGCCTACTGGCCATCTTTCTTTCATTTCTTGACTATTACTGTTGTTATCACCTCTAGAAACCTTCATTTCTCTCACTGTTTTTTGGTGCCTTAGAAGGGACAAGTAGAGGAGACAAGCCAGTCAGGGTGCAGTGTAGTTCCTAAATGCTTCCTCCTCCCTCACCATCATGATCTCACTTCTGCCTTACAAATATGGCTAGACCAGAGGATGTACACTGGTACAGATAGGAATTGGAAACACAGGGAATCCAGGGCGGATGATCCCTTCAGGACCAGTGGCGATACTGGGAGGGTGGGTTGGAAAGGGGGAACCAATTAAAAGGATCTACATGTGACACCCTCCCTGGGGGACGGAAAACAGAAAAGTGGGTGAAGGGAGACGTCAGACAGGGCAAGATATGACAAAATAATAATTTATAAATTAGCAAGGGTTCATGAGGGAGGGGGTAGCGGGGAGGGAGGGGGAAAATGAGCTGATGTCAGGGGCTTAAGTGAAAAGCAAATGTTTTGAGAATGAGGGCAGTGAATGTACAAATGTGCTTTGCACAATTGATGTATATAGATTGTGGTAAGAGTTGTATGAGCCCCTAATGATTTTTTTTTAAAAGGGACAAGTAGAAAGGAAGGGAAGGAATAAAGTATATTTTCCTAGTTTCCATATAACTTTTGGACCCCAAAATTGATCCCCACAAAAACTTTTGGCTAAATAAGGTGTGGTACCCTTTGTTACCTGCGTAGGCTATGGCGCATAGCGTTTGGTTTGATCAAAATTAAGGGTCCTGTGGGGAAAAGCTATATATATATACATAAGTCTTAAAACATAAGGCTATACTAATATCAATACATGGGAAATGTAATACTTTATTCATGTGAGACTCCATATTTTTTGCAGTATCTTGGACTGAATAGTAGCTATTCTTTGGATTATAAGGCAATGTCACTGTTTGATTAGTATAATACCAGGTCACAGATTTTGGTATCTACTATATGAATCATAACTAGCAGCACTTCTGGCTCATGCGTGAGTTTATAAAGCATTTTGAGATGTACTCTGCAGTTTGTACAAGTGATTTTATTACTTTATATCTTAATGGGTTAACAACTGCCCAAATACATGTATCTACATAATTTAAATTTTTTAGAAACTGGTAAAATTTTTAAAAGAACTATTCATTTCTGAGCAAATAGAGACTGAGTTCATGAGGGCCGTATTAGAATCATGCTGTGCCTTTCATGTTAGGTCATCACTGTAGTTTTAAAACATTATATGGCAAACTTAATAAAGCTGACATATTTGTTTTATTTCATTTATTGAACATAGTCAAGGGTAATTAAAAACATCTCTCAAAAGAATGCTTTCTCTCTCTTTTTTTAATCATTTTATTAGGGGCTCATACAACTCTTATCACAATCCATACATACATCAATTGTGTAAAGCACATTTGTACATTCAGACAATGCTTTCTTTAGATAAAGAAAACTAACATCCAGACTAGTACATAAGAAAGATAGCCACATCCTGCCAGTAAAGTTAATTTTAGAGACATAAGCAAATCTACTCTGCACACGTTCTCAATAAAAAAAATAAAAGAATGGACAAAATATTAGCTGTCCATTTCTTAAATTCTTATATATTTTCTGAAACACTTAAAAATGTTTTGAAACTTGTAATATTTTGTATTCTACTTCATTTTTGATTGGATTGAATAAGTATTTGATTGTTTGCTCTTAGTTTTTAATGTACCTTAAAAAGCATTTCTTAAAAAGTACATTGAAATAGCTTGACATTATGTGGTTTAGTCTCCTATGTATAAATTCTAAAATGTGTATCTAGGAAAAACAATTAAATATCTGTAAAGGTCTGTGTATTACAACTGCTGGTTATTTCCTTAGTTACTTTTAAGGTCAAAGCTAACAGGCTTTCAATAATACTTGACATGTGTACATCTTTGCAGTGGGGCCAGGAGGATTAAACAGCATCCTATATTCCAGTAAATAATACAAAGCTCATGCTTCCTCTATCTCATCAATCTAAGTAGAAGTATTCTTAGGGCAACCAGTTGTGTATATTTGTTGTTGATGATACCATTTTGCTTATGCAATCAAATTAATAAGTTGAATTTTCCTTTTTTTTCAGACTTTTTTGTTGTGTCTGTGATTGTTTTGTACGTTTTCATGTTATTCATTATGTTGCATCCAGTTGCCTCAGTTGACCAGGTTCTTCAGGTAAGCTTGAAGCCCCTGCTTTGGTTTTGGGTTAGTGGTAATGCACAGTACATGGGCTTGTAGTAGTTAGACATTAAGAGAGAAAGTAAAACTGGTAGTACATGAACCTTTAGCGACCACATAAAAGAGTGTTTAATGGAACTTAATATCTAGGCCTCAACTCGATCTTCTGTTCCCTTCTTTTTTTAAATCATTTTATTAGGGGCTCATACAGCTCTTATCACAATCCATACATATATCAATTGTGTAAAGCACATTTGTACTTCATTGCCCTCATCATTCTCAGAACATTTGCTCTCCACCTAAGCCCCTGGCATCAGCTCCTCATTTTTCCCCCTCCCTCTCTGTCCAACATCTTCCTTCACCCACTTTTCTGTTGTCCGTCCCCCAGGGAGGAGGTCACATGTAGATCCTTTTAATCGGTTCCCCCTTTCCAATCCACCCTCCCA